ATGAAATAGAACAATTATAATAATATACTGTAATAAAAGTTATGTGACTGTAACGTTATTAAGTAAAATAAGGGTTACTTGAGCACAGGCACTGCGAGACCATGACAGTCTAAGAAAACCAAGACAAATACTGAGTGACAAATGGGTAGGGAACGTATACAGCATGGATAAGCTGGCAGAGGTATGATTCACATCCCAGGCAGGATGGAGAGGGATGGCACACGATTTCATCAAGCTACTTACAATGGCATGAAATTCAAAACTTATGAATTGTTTATTTCTGGAAGTTTCCATTTAATATTTCTGGACTGTGGGTAACTGAAACCTTGAAAAGCAGAACTGTTGATAAGGGAGGACTGCTGTCTGTGACTGTTCAGTGGCAGGCATTCATTGAGCTATGCATTGGAAATGCAAGAATGACTTAGACACTTCTTGTTTCTAAGGAATTCAGAAACAGGTGAGGTGTATAGGTAATAAGTGAATATCGCACAAAAAATCTGTTTCTTCTGTGTGTGTTTTTTTAATAAAAAAGTCTCTTTATCTTTATTGTTGAAGATATTACAGGTGTCCCCTTTTTATCCCCATTGGTCCCCTCCACCCCGGATTCATCCCACCCCTAGGCTTTCCCCAGACCAGGGTCTGTTCCCATGGGTTATGCTTATAAACATATAAGTTCTTTGATTAATCTCTCCTCACCCACTTCTCCCTCCCCACCTTCCCTCTGAGATCCCTCAGTCTGTTCCATGCTTCTATGTCTCTGGATCCACTTTGTTCATTAGTTTGTTTATTATATTCCACATATAAGTGAGATCCTGTGGTACTTGTCTTTCTCTGACTGGCTTATTTCACTTAGCATAATAATTTCTAGTTCCCTCCATGCTGTGCTAAAGGATAAAAGATCCTTCTTTTTTATAGCTGCATAGTATTCCATGGTGTAAATGTGCCACAGCTTTTTTATCCACTCATCTACTGATGGGCACTTGGGCTGTTTTCAGATCTTAGCTATTGTAAATTGCACTGCTACAAACATAGGGGTGCATAAGTTCTTTGCGATTGGTGTTTCAGGTTCCTTAGGATATATTCCTAGAAGTGGGATCACTGGGTCAAATGGCAGGTTGTTTCTTCTGTTTTTGGTGCAAGAAAGGCCCTGGCCTCTTCCTGCTGATGTTCACATTTCTGAGTCTTCCTCCTTAAATTTCCTCTCTCTTTTTTTTTTTTTTTTACTAGCTCCTCTTAAATTTTCCACTCACCAAACTCCTTCCAAGAATTTGCCCAGGGTTTCTTCTCCCTAGGCTTGCTCCTTCAGAGAAATTCTTTGTGTTCATGTGGATTAATCCTAAAGCGGCGTCTTTGGGTTGACTAAACAAATCCACTTAGATATCCTCTTAGCATCTCCTCTCCTTTTATTGTTGACATCATAATTCTTTTTTAGTAAAATTTAAGACTGTCACCGCCTTTTCTCTAATCTTAGCAGTCAGCTAGTTGCCATATCCAAATGGTTCTTCCTCTCCAGGATCTCTCTCATTCAGCCTTTCTTTTCCATGTTCACCCTAGCATTTAACTGAAACCATTATAGCACTAAGAACTTTCTGCTTTGTTCTTCTTCAGGAGTGGAACATGGACCTCTCCCCTAAACAATTACAATATCCTGGAAACTTGTCTCCTGGTTCCAAACTTTCTATGTATCAGAATAAACTTTCGAAAGTACCATATCTATAATCATTTCTCAATATATACCTATATCAAATCATTATTTTGTACACCTTAAATTAATACAATGTTACATAAAAATTTAAGGGTCTTACTATCAATTCCAATGTGTGTGTGTGTGGAGGTGGTGGTTCCCCACACCATCAAGTCATTCTCTGACACCTGCTGGGTGTCCTACCAGTCAGCTCAATTCTGATACTACCTGGAGATAGCATCAGATCTCACAGATTAAGGCCTCAGTCCTATAAGACTGTCCCCCACACCACTTCAGACGTCAGCTGCCAGTCATGTTGTCATATGGGCTTCTGACCAACTGGCTATTTATCAGAGATTCCAACGACTCTCTCAAGTTTGATGAATTTGCTAGAGGCTCTCACAGAACTCAGAGAAACATCCTATTTACTACATTACTGGTTTCTTATAAAAGGATACAGCTCGTGAACAACCAGATGGAAGAGATGCATAGTGCAAGGTGTGGAGAAAGGGCATGGTGCTTCCAAGGCATGGAACTTCCATGCCTTTTCTCAGGAGGTTGCTGTGTCTGAAACTCCACCTGTTCACCAACCCTGATGCTTTCCAAATCCCATCCTTTTGGGGTTTTTTGGAGGCTTCATTACATAGGCGTGGTTTATTAAATCATTAGACATTGGTGATGGAGCTCAATTTCCAGCCCTTCCCTCTTCCCAAGATGTTGGAGTTGGGGAGATGGGGAGGTGTGGGTCTGAAAGTTCCAAATTTCTAATCACATGGTTGGTTCCTCTGGCAACCATCTTCCATCCTTAGGTGTAATCTGAAAGTTACCTCAATAACATAGCAAAAGACACTGTTGTCACTTTCACATTAATCACAGTGATTTTAGGAACTTTATGCCAGAAACAGAAATGAAGGCCAAATATACATATCTTATTATAAATCACAATACCATGAAATTATAGCTCAATAAAATGGGGAGGGTGTGGGGGGAGTATCCCATCTATCATGTCATTTCCTTACCCCAAATCCTTCATTCTCTTTTCTTTGTCAATTGAAATTTAAATTTTTTACCCAGCATTCAGTGCCTCTATGATATAGTCCAAATTTATGTTTCTAGTTTTATCTCTAAGTAGATCCCTAGGAATATCTGATACTGCAGCCTACACTTACTGTTCCTCAGACACCAGATACATTGCTTAATTGCCTTTGCTGGTACTTTTATTGATAGAATATACTACTCCTCATTGTTACTTGTGAGAATCTTAGCCATTAAAAATTTTTTCAAAAGTTTCATTCTAGCCCAGCCTGCATGGCTCAGCTGTTGAGCGTTGCCCTATGATCCAGGAGATCGTGGTTCAATTCCCGGTCAGGGCACATGCCTGGGTTGCCGGCTCGATCCTCAGTGGGGGGTGTGCAGGAGGCAGCCGATCAATGACTCTCTCATCATGGATGTTTCTCTCTCTCTCTCACCCTCTCCCTTCCTCTCTCTTAAATCAATAAAAAAATATATATATATAAAAAGTTTAGCCTATGAAGCCATTCAGGTCTCCCTAATAGACACCGTGTTTTCTGCCTTTGATTTCCCAGAGCACCTTGTTTGAACCTCTTGCAGGGTTGTTTTCTTACTCTTCCCTGTACTATGGCTATTTTTTTACTTCTCTGACCTCCTTGTGAAACTTCTGTCTCCTCAGAGATGGTGCCTTTCTTACCAATATTGCAGATTTAACAGTGCTTATCACTGTGTCTTCTATCCAGAGGGACCCAGTATCTATTCTTTCTTTGTCCTTAGTAACAGAACTTCTGTTTTTTTCAGGGTGATAATGTGCCCAGCTAAAAATACTTACTCTCCAAATTCTCTTGCAGTCAGGTGGTCAATGAGTCAGTTCTATAGAAGGAAATGAAAGCTGAGGGTTTCTGGGTTTCTGAATATAGGCACCACACTCCTTTCTGCTTTGTTCTTCATGCCTGCACGTGAACCTGGAGGCCATTAGGGTAGTCTTGTGGTCATCAGGTAATAAACTTCGGGGTGAAGATTAAAACATTGATTCTTTCATTCAACAGGTGTTTACTGACCATCTACTATGGTGCCAGGCACTATTATAGATGTTTCGAAAAGTATCAGAGCAGATGGATGGAAAGAGTCTGGATCCCAGATGACACCATTAAATACTGAAACAACTTTAACTGCCTACCTCTACACTTCATGAATCCCTTTTGCCTTAAGCAACTTTTACTCAGTTTTATTATTTTCTGTTCTTTTTAGTTGAATGCATTTCTTATTTATACAGTGCTATTTACTTTTTTAAAGCCTGCAAATTTAAGTGAGGCTGACTTGTTTTTTTATTGAAATAATCACGTAGAGTTTCTCTTTTCTTCTATTAATTATTACTCATTTTGAAATATTTACCAACCTTGCATTCTTGTAATAAGCTCTACTTGATTGAGATGTAGTTATAATAATTATGTCTCTGTGGATTCAATTGGCTAATGTTTTGTTTGAGAATCTTGCATTATGTCTGAGAGACACTGCCCTGTAATTTCCCTTCCTTATAATGTTAGTGTCAAATTTGGTGTCAAGGTTGTAAAATGAGTTGGGAAGTAGTCCTTTTTTATTATCAGGAAGAGTTTGCATGAGATTGTTCTTACTTCCTTCAACACTTGCAAGAATTTAATGGTGAACCATCTGGACCTGGAGTTTTTCATTGTTTTAAGTATGGATTCAATTTCTTTGATACCCACAGAACTATTAAGATTTTCTATTTATTTTTTAGTCATTTTTTCATAAATTGTGTCTTTCAAGAAATTTATGTTTCATTCAAATTCATTTATTATCTGTTTATTATCTTTTTAATGTCTGTGACCCTGTAGAGATGTTCTCCCTTTTAGGTATAGCATTAACAAGTTGTATTTTCTTTTTGTTTTATTATTATTATTATTATTATTATTATTATTAATCTTCCTTGGGGTTTATCAATTTTTAAATTTGTTTTCAAAGAGCCATCTTTTGCCTTTGTTAATTTTCTCTAGTCTGTTTGCTTTCTATTTTATTGGTTTCTGCTCTTACCTCCTTTGAGGTTAATATGCTGGGTGGTTGTGTTGTGTTTTGTTTTTCAGCCTAGTTTTTTGAGATGTAAGCTTGTATCCTTGATATTTAGCCTTTCCTTCTTTCTGACATATGCATTTAAAGTCATATATTTCCTTTTCAGCACTGCTTTAGCTGCATACCACAAGTATTGATATGTGAAGTCTTTATTTTCACTTTGTTTCCACTGCGATTTCTGGGATATTTTGGTTACTTCTCTATTATTGATTTCTAGGTTAATTCCACTGTGGCCCAAGAGCTTGCTCTGTGTGATTGTATCCTCTGAAATTTGTTGAGACTTTATGGACCAGTGCAAAATCTATTTTAGTAAGTGTTCTAAGTGCAAATATAAAGAGTGTGTGTTACAAAGTTGTTGGTTTTACATATACAGTGTTACATATATTATTATATCAAGTTTTTAATCATTTTGTTAAAATCTTATATATCCTTACTGATTTTATTATCTGCCTAGTCTATTAGTTACTGAAAAAATGTTAAAATTGTTAGTTATGACTATGAATTTGACTATTTGCTTTATACATTTGACACTGTTATTAAATGCCTAGAAATTTATGATTTCTGTTGAATTGATATTTCTGTGAATATAAAATATTTCTCTTTATTTCCAGTTATACTTCTTGCCTTAGAGTCTTCTCAATCTGATATTGTTATACTATGCCAGTTTTCTTTTGGGTAAAGCTGGCATGGCATATCTTTTCAATCCTTGTACATTTAACTTTTCTGTGTCTTTATATTTAAAGTATGTCTCTTGAAAGAGTCAGGTTTGAATCCCAGTTCTTCTGACCCTTATCAGCTAAAGCTCAATTTCCTGACTATAAAGTGAAAAAGATATATATACTAACATAGTTACTGTTACTAGTAACTACTGTATTTAATAGATATACAATCTATCTTTTTAGATACATTTTTTTCTCATTTTTATTCCAATTAAGTACTATTCCAATGTAGTCCTTATTATAGGGCAATATTTTACATTAAGATAAGAGGAAAACACCTCTCTACCTTTGTTTTTCTGGTCCCTCATTTGTGAAACTAAATGTGGGGAAAATATACAGGCAATTGTATACTTTCTTCTTTGTAACACTGCTTCAGAAAGGAAAGTTAAGCAAGTCCTACTGTATGATCTCACTTAGATGTGGAATCTAAGGAACAAAATAAACTGATGAACAAAATAGAACCAGAGGCATGGATCCATGGAACAGACTGGCAGCTGTCAGAGGAGAGGGGACAAGAGGACTAGACAACAGAAGGTGAAGAGATGAGACAAAGAACTTATATGCGTAACCCGCAGACACAGACAACCGTGTGGTGACGGCCAGAGGGAAGGAGGGGGTAGGCCTTGGGTAGAGGTGGGCAAATGGGGGGGG